AATTACAAAGCTGAAAAAATCATCCTTTCAAAAGCACAGAATTGAAAAGCAACTAATCACGTACTTGCTTGAACAAAATATATTCATCAAGAGAAAAACATTAGTTGCTACTGAGTGGAGACCCATTCTAGGACTCAGGGGCGTGAAGTTGACACATGGGCAACGACGCCAGGACGAACAACGTGGTGCCTCGTCACGACAGAAGTGTGTGGGGGGAACACCCCACCACAGACACACCGCTACCCTAGAATTACAAAGTTCTGTCTGCTCAGTACCTAGTTGTGAGAAATTTGACGGCAAAGATTTTTAGCTTCACAACATGTCAAGCTTTTTTGAATGCAGTTCTTTGAATATTCTTGATAGCAACACAGAATAATCTGACCATTCTGATAGAGCAGACAGAGCATTTTATTTCTGATCTGATGGTTTTAGTAACTCAAAACGGACAAAAATGTGAGCTAGAACTTGGTAATTCTGAAGTAGCCAGATTGCAACTCCACACACACACACTCGCTCACTCATCTGCCACTCGCTAAAAGGAAGCAACAAAATAACAAGTTAATATATATTATATATATATATATTATATGTACAGAGGACATGTGACAGGTGATCTCAGTAGATGTGTACATTATGATAACAACGAGTTATGTCCAAAAGTATACATATGTATCACAATAAGACTCCCACTGACGGAGGACCCGTGTGCTCACAGACCGCGGGACACACGTTAGTTCCCAGACCACAGGGGTGAACAAAGGAAGAATCCGCAAAAAGGGACCGTACGGAGGACCACATAGGCATAAGGTAACAGTGTTGGTGCAGTATCTCCTACCAACACTACTAGCAAAAGGTCATATCAGTGGTGTTATAATCTAACCTTGTAACTGGGAAAAAATGGGTCAACTCTTTTTCTATTGTTCTTAAACTTAAACCTTTCCCATGACACTTATATGAACTGATTGTGTTGAAAGTGCAGTAAAATGTTTATAAAACTAAACAAAATCTGCACCTCTTCAATGAAAATCAGGAGCAAGCTTACTTTACTTTTATCCGCCGCTTATACCCTTTTGGGTGTCGCGGAAAGACGGAGACATCTCTCTGTCGCCAGCCGGAGAGCTTGGGTCAGGGGGATGCCGTGGGTGGTTAATGTTTCCCTGACTCCATCTATCCAGGTCTTTCTCCGTCGCCCTCTAGCCTTGTTGCCATCAAATTTTTTAATGTAGGCACGTTGGAGCAAGCAAAAACAATAAATAGTATGAAAGTACCGTGGGCTGACTTTTATGTGTACTTTTAATTTTTTTATCATATAAATCAGAAGAGATTTTTTTTTAAATTCGCCGGCTGAAACATTTTAAAGGAACCAGGAAAAGGTAAGAGCATACCACCAATGATATGGAGCAAAGGCTTGCACAAAATCTACTCCAGTCAACAGTCATTCCACTCACATTCCACAGTCACCTAACTTTCTCACTGACTAGGACAAAAGGTCATCTGTCAATGGTGACAGCGACAGCATTCTGTGTTTATCTATTGGTCTTTTTCTGCCCTCTCTGAGCAAACTACACACTTCCCTAAAAGGAATGCACACATAGTCTCAGAATTATTTTGTCCAAAGTGTACTTATATTATGTAAAGAGGCACTTTGGACAAAATAGTTCTGAGGCGACAACTGCTTAGTATAAGACTCTGCCATACATTGTTTTTTTAACAGTGGCACATGGCGGACGGATTCTTACACTGAGCAATCCAAATGGTGTGTGTTGAGAAAAAGAAAAGACCCAAACAAACAGCAACAGGCGTCAACAATTCTCTCACACACACTTCAAATACGTGAGCTGTGTTCACTCGTCCATAAACACAGTAAAATAGGTTTGGCCGTTACAAAAAGATCTCCAAGGAACAGCAAGAAACCCTATGTAAAAAACAAAACTACAGCAGACACAAACACAACAAACCTCCCATAGCTCTTTCCTTCATCCACTCAGCACTTGGCAAAGAGGAGGGAGAGAACGTTTGAGAGCTGTTAGACAGGAGGAAGTGCCGGGGTGGGGGGAGAAGAAGAAAGACCAGTGGTGCGGCTGCACTTGAATCAAATGATATGCACAAATATTTTATCTTCACACTCTAGGAATGTACGACCGGTTTGAACAGACAAAAGCACTAGCTGACTGACAGACACACAAACAAATCTCCTCATCAATTTTCTCCTTATGAAGGCCA